TCTCTACCTCTTTTACAGCTGCTTCTCTCTCTTCCCACCAGATGTGATTCAATCTGTAGGTGCCATCTCGACCGAAAATGGCACTGATGAGAGCTGGGCGAAGATCGCCACCATTTCAGCCAGAGCCCCGTGGGTCCTTCACGGCTCAAGGCTCAGCAGCACGCGGATCACAGAGGTGGAGTCGCAGAAGGAGGTGTACAGAGCAGGTGTGCAGCGTGCCGCCAGGCTGCAGGGCTGGGGCTGCGTGAAGGAGGGCACACGAGTGGCAGGGGTTCGTTGTGCTGCCCTCGATGGTCATGGAGTGACAGAATGCCCTGGGTTGTAAAGGAGCACAGCGCTCATCCAGCTCCAAGCCCTGCTGTGTGCAGGTCACCAACCAGCAGCCCAGGCTGCCCAGAGCCACATCCAGCCTGGCCTTGAATGCCTGCAGGGATGGGGCATCCACAGCCTCCTTGGGCAACCTGTGCCAGTGCCTCACCACCCTCTGGCTCCAAAACTTCCTCCTCACATCCAACCCAACCCTCCCCTGTCTCACTTTCAAGCCATTCCCCTTGTCCTGTCACCACCCACCCTCACACACAGCCGTTTCCCCTCCTGTTCATCCGCTCCCTTCAAGCACTGAAGGCCACCATCAGGTCTCCCTGCAGCCTTCTCTCCTCCAAGCCAAACAAGCCCAGTTCCCTCAGCCTTTCCTCACAGCAGAGCTGCTCCAGCCCTCTGCTCATCTCAGTGCCTGAGATTGAGGGCTCTGCCTCAGATCTGCCTCAGATGGGGGTTGGACTCCATGAGCTCTGGATCTTCCAACCCCTACAATTATTCTGTGAAACTGAAATGGAGAGGAGACGATCAGCTTTTGTTCCAGTGTTGAAGAGAGGTCAGGGAGGCGAGCAAGGCTGGATGGAGCTGGCACTTCTGTGTTTGTCTATGGGGGAAAGCTGCACTGGGGGTAAATGTAATTAGCTTTGAAGTCACCATAGGATCTGCATTACGGACCTTCCTGGTGTAAGGTGGCATTTATCATTTTTGCTCGGTGATACGTGTGAGATCAATGAGAAACATCATTCTTGTAGCGGTGCGTCCCAGGAAGTGTTGCTCCAGTTAGAAATTAGAGCTACATCCGTGTCTGTGCCCTGCAGGAGCTCTGCTGATGGTTTTGGTGCCAAGAGTCCCAGGGAGGTTGTGGATGCCCCGTCCTTGGACGTGTTCAAGGCCAGGTTGGACGGGGTCCTGGGCAACCTGATCTGAATGTGGATGTTTGGTGGCCCTGCTGGGCAGGGGGGTGGAACTCCATGATCCTTGAGGTCCCTTCCAACCCGGGTGATTCTGTGATTCTGTGAAGAGTCGCACTGCAGTTCATGTTGTCCCAGATCAGGGGATGTTTGGTTCCTTGGTCAGGCGCTGCAATGGCTGCACAGGGAGGTGGGGGAGTCGCCGTCCCTGGCAGCGTTCAGGAGGCGCCTGGATGAGGAGCTGCGAGATGATTTAGTGCTGGTGGTGGCGATGGTGAGGAGGAGGCGGTTGGACCGGATGATCTTACAGGTCGTTTCCAACCTTGTGATTCTATGATTCTATGATTCCATGATTCTATGATTCTATGATTCTATGATTCTTTTGCTGTTCGTGCAGCCGAAAGGCTTGGAAACGTGCCGAACCTCAGCAGGAGCCATGCAAAACCCCCTGAGATCTGCTCATCTCTTCCAGCCTCCAGCAGCAGCGAGGAGCTCAGCAGCCTGGCCTTCCTGGATGCCAACACGGCGGTGCTGTGCTGCGCGGCGGGGCGGCTGTGCGTGGCCGATATTCGGCAGCGCGGCCCCTTGCAGGCTCTGCTCATCCCCTCGGCGCAGTTTGGGCGCTGCTGGCGCGCGGCGGCCGCTTGCTGTGAGCCGAGCTCCCGACCCATCGCCTGCCTGTCGAGCGCAGGGCAGCTGGTCCTGATGGACGTAAGGAAAACCTCGCCGTGTTTGGCTTCAGCCCGATGCGAAGTTCCACCATCCGGCTCCAGCGCCGAGTTCCTGTGCGTCTCCTGGGCTCCCGCTCTGGAAGGTTGCCTTGCTGTTTCAGGTTGGTGATCCGGGAGGACCGATTGCTTTTTCTGGATGTTGTTTTGGGTGACGTTTCGCAGCGGTTTGCTCCGTTTTCGACGCCCCGCTTGGAGGCTGTGCGGAGCTGCGCCGGGGAGCTGAGCTGATCGCCCTCCCGGCCGCCTCCCATCCTGAGGCACAGCAGCGTTGAAGCCCGGCTCCCAGCTGGGGCTCTCGCAGCTTCTTTCCCCCCAGCAGAGACCACAGGCCTCAGCAAACGAGGAGAGCTGGGCCATCGCAGCACCGCCAGTTAATGGGCAAGCTCTGTGCAGCTGGTGGGGGTCAGCTTCAGACTGCCTCGGGCACACGCTCTCGTCCTGGGCTGAGACCCTGACCCCAACCCTGACCCCAAAGCCCTAACCATAACACCATGAGCCTGACCCCAACCCTAACTGTAAACCTGACCCCAAAACTCTAACCCCAATCACAACCCTGTGACCCCAACCCCATGACCCCAACCCTAACTGTAAACCTGACCCCAAC